CACCTCCTCTTGTGGAATAAAGATGACCTTCGCGCAGCCTGGACTTGGATGAACATGGACTCTCTGAGGAGTTGGCGTGCTAATTTCGATTGGAAGTTCTGGAAACACAGTGGAAAGAGGGAAGTCCCCGCCAACACTGAGGATCTCGACCCACACTACCGGGAGATGCTGAAGGTTAGCCCTTCTGACATCAGATGGAGACCTCACTGGTGACACATCGCCATACAGTATCCAGATGCTCCGAATAGTTGGTACCTCTTGACGCTTGTTCTCTCTTTCACTGTTGGATTGGTCGTCATCCACAAGACAGATTCCACGCTTCCTTGGTGAGCAATATCTCATTCTCCATCTGACGAAATATTTTACCATGTCTTTTGAGGTGGGGCTTCGTCATCGCGGTCCTCTTGGCCGCCGTGTCTATCTTGTTCTTCGGCGCGTTGTACGCCATTACCGGCATTAATCTTTCTATTCGTACGTATTATTTATGCTCTATAGCTGTCCTGAGCTGATCTTTCGGCGAAGAAACCCTGGTCCAGATGATTGCTGGCTACCTGCACAACGGAAGGCCCATGGCGAACATGTTCTTTGTTCGTATTGACATACTTTCTAATTTTTGACCACTGCTGATGTTGTTGTCGACAGGTCCTTTACAGCTATGTCTGTATCCTTATGGTCGCTTTGATTTGGGTTTGATTCGCGTTCTCGTCCAGAATACTGTGTCTCAAGCTTTGCTGCTACTACGTGATCTGAAGATCGCTCAATGTATGTCCACATTATTTGTCAGGAAAGGTACCTCTAACTGGCGGATACCTAGATGCCAAACTGCCCCCCCGCGCTGCCTTCATGGCCCAGATCATTGGCACCTTGTTCGGCGCTGTTCTTAACTATGGTTAGAGAGCGGTCTTGCTTATCCATTCGCCACACTTGACTTCTTTTAGTATTAATGAATTCTATCATCGACAGTCAACGCGGAATTCTGCTATCTGTACAAGGAACAAACATCTGGTCTGGCCAACAACCTCAATCATACAACTCGCAAGCAATTGCGTGGGGTGGCCTTGCTCACGAGCTCTTTTCATCTGGTAAAAGGTACCAATGGGTCCCTCTGTCCTATCTCATTGGCCTTGTTGCGCCTCTTCCTTTCTGGATTATTCACCGTTACTGGCCGAGACTACGCATGGATTACTATTATACCCCTATCATTTGGTATGCTCTCAACTCACCACTAATCATTATTCTAAGTTCATTATCTGTACAGTGCATACATCGGATGTCTTTGTGCTGGAATAAACTCTTCAGCTCTGACGTATTTCATGATTTCGTTCTTGTGTCAGTGGTGGCTTCGTACTCGGTACTCGCGTTGGTTCGTGAAATACAACTATTTGGTCGGTGCAGGTAAGGTCTGTGGCCTTTTTATTTCAAAACTGCCAACATCATGCTATACTATAGCCCTCGATGGTGGAACGCAAGTTATGGTATTCATTCTAACCTTTACGGTTCAAGGGGCTACTGGAACATCACATCTTTTCCCGGAATGGTGGGGTGCAAACCAAGGCGGAAACTACGACCGCTGCTTGTATCTCTGAATACCAAGTACTTAGTCTATTACATTAGGTTGAGGTATTTTTGCAATAAAAAATTACAAGTTTTGTCCTAATGCTGAGAGTTACGTTCTATGTAAGGTAGGGCTCGTACAAAACCGACCAACCGTGACATATTGTGACCTAATGTGACCATGCTAATTGGCAGCCGGCGGACGGCGTCACGGCAGTGTTCTATGTTTGGCCTGAAGTATGCTACACACATGTACAACATCAAAAACTTCCACTACATCTACTTTATCACAATTATAACTCCTGTGAACTGTGCCAAACAGCTTTCTCAATGATCCACAGGAGTCTGTTTTTTTTCTTTTTTTAATGCTAGATACTGCATAAGCCCTCAGTGTGATGGAACAAACTGTATTGAATACCTAGATACTGCATAAGCCTAAGCTGTAGTCAGTATCTAGTGGCAGACCAAATAATAAAAAGGCTTACCCTCAGTGTGATGGAACAAACTGAGGGAAGGTGAGAAAGAGAAGCGGGATATATATACATGGAGGTTCAAATTCCAAACAGTGACTCTGCTCATTGTGTCATCATCAAGCATAGCACCAATATCTTTTTCATGAATCTCTTGAGCCTTTGTCTTTTCTGTAGTTTTGTCACGCTTTGTATACTTTGTCACATGATGTTGGTTGGTTTTGTATGAGCCCTACCTTAGGACAATCTAAAACTTGAAACTGCTTGTCAAGCAGACTTTGATTTACCTGAGTGACTATAAAGTTGTTGCTTAATGAGCAAGAAAGTTTTGTGCTAGAGATCAACATTTACAAATCCCTGAATGTACTGATTGAAACATTTTATTGTGTTTACATTTAGATATGATCACTATTCTTTGAGGTTCATGCTGGTGTGTCATTTGTGTGGAGAGTGAAAGAAAAGAATTCTGAATTGATGTACTACATTTGTACATCATGGGGTAAGATTGGGTGAGAGGTACTAGTAGGACACAATTCAATGCTGGTTTGGAGGATTGTCATAACCAAGCCTAATAACACTGAGCCATCCACATCTGCAAAACCACTGAAATGAACACTTAACTTACATGCATTACGGACACTTACAAACACTTACAACTTCAGTAGTGAACTCATGCAATTGGTGGAGATGCCTGAACAACATTATTACTTGCCATATCTGGCTGATAAAACATAAGCCTAGTTATCTTTTGTTGAGAAGATGCAATAGGCTCAGAGATATGGTACACCTTGAATATACATGATAGCAATAGTGAATACAATTAATCATGCTGATCAAGCCACTGTCTATGCAAACTTGGTACTAGTAAATGTATGATAACTCTCCTTGTCTGTGAAGTTGTTCAAAAAGAAATGTTCATAGCTTTCCAAACAAGTGGTTGATGAAACATCATTGGCCATTTCTCACTGAAATATGGTATCAGTTCAATAGTGTGTGTTATGTCTGTTATCTGCACCACTGTGCCCTGCCACAAGATCATGACAACTTAATGCATTATATAGTGTAGTTACAAGAAACAAGTTGTGCATTAACAAGTGTAACTACCATGTGCAAGTAGATGCATTAATGAAGTGTAACCACAAGACATGACTTGTGAGATAAATGCATCACATCACCCATGTCCTGTCAGGTCCACAGCATCATATGTTTCAGACATGTCAAAGCATGTGGCACTTTTTCCTCAAGTGATGACATCACTCAAGGGAAAAGTGCCATGTGCCATATATATCATGTGACAAGTAGCACCCTTTCAGAATCATGACTCATACAAGCTACAAATCAGATTGGATTCTATGGTAGTAGTACATTGAGGAGGCTATATCTCTGGTATACAAAGATCTGGAAGGTGCAATGACAATGAATCAGAAGACACCCTGCCAACAGCAGTAAGATGCTGGGTGTTACGATCAAGCTAAGTCTGCAACAAGCAAACGAAGTGAGTGAGTAACGTAGAACTTGGATTGGGGCTTGCACCAAGCCTGCTGCAACCAGTGGCATCCATAGGTATGAGTTCACAGCAATTGATCTAGCTGCGAGGGCTACAATTGATTATCAATGATTATGATGGTGAAGTTGTCAATTGTTCTCTTCACAATGCTAGAGACATTGGAAGTGACAAGCTCCTAATGAAGGTACTTGCTAAGGAGGAGAGCTTGCTTAGGGCTGAAGGAGTAGGCAGTATGAACCAAGTAGATTCAAGTTAGAGAATACAAGTGCTACTCATAAAGTATATATACCATTGGGAGGGATAAGGGCAGGTCTGCTGTATTAGTGGTAAGGGTAAAGGGGGAATGAGTCACAATGAGTCAGGATACCAAAGTAAGTAGAAAGTACTGGTTGAGCAGTAAGGGTAAGGGGGAGATGAGTCATGGTGAGTCATGATGAGTCAGAATACCAAAGTAAATAAGAGTACCAGTTGGTTGGTAAGGGCATAGGGTCAGTGAGTCATTGGATGAACCAATGATAAGGTACAACTGACAGAATGGTTGGTGGAATTGATCAAGAGAAAGAGATAGAACAATCGAGAAGGAAAAGGGGTGATCGCTCAAAGAGGAAGGAGTCCAGTGAGGGCGTGAGGGAGGAAAATGAATAGGGGCTAAATGAAGTGGATGTTATTGTAACACTGGGCCCAAGAAACCTTGAACTTAGTGCTAAGGTCATGATGAATATGAGCCTGGTGAGTGGCATAGGCAACTACCCCTTCCTTGTCAGCCCCCACAAGAGTGTACAAATGAGCCACATTGTCCCACCAGGTGCATGCCATTGGAGAAATTGGAGAACTTGGCGCATCTCTTCTCACAGTAACTCAATTTCTTCCCCCCAATGCATCATCCTAGCATGAGCTTTGCACCACTCAACCCGAAGACCTGTCACAGTTAATTTGGTGAGTGTTAAATTTCAGTTGTATGAGAGAAGAACCATACCATCCTGGACTACTTCATCCTCATCGTCTCCAACTCCTTCCACCACCCAAATCCACAAGAGTTGCCTTCTTCCCTTACTTTCTCCTTTTCTAGGCACTGTCATTCCATGTACATTGTCTTTGTTGTTCAGTGAACAAAATTTAACATTCCAGCCTACCTTTTTTAGAACAGGTGCAAGGGAAGATAGTGCAGCATGGGCTGCACAATACTTCTCAGCTGCAGCTGTGGCCCTTGCCTCTACTCAGCCAAGTGCATTTTGTGCACAAGTGTTTGCGCTTTGTCCACAAATTCAGTTGCATTTGAAGGTGTACATGTAGTCATGCAGTTGAAGACTTCATCTGATCTCGTCCAGAGTGTCTCCTGCCTGTGCAATTTGTAGCTCCCATTTGATTGTGAGAAGGTGAGGGCTGCAGGATACAAGGTCAGCTGTTAATGATGACAGTAAGAAGAGCTTGATGTCCTCTGGGTTGTCTGGATTACTGATGGTCTCTATTCAGGATGATAAAAACTGTGCTGCTGGAGTGTAGAGAAATTGCACTTGCTTCCATGTGTCTACCTTGCACTGGAGGGTATTCTGCTGCCACACAAGGATGGTCTTCTGTCTATCTGTTAGGTGTGCTCTTTGGAGAGAAAGATCTAACTTGAAGCAATGCCTAAGGTCATTTAGCAATATCAGCAAAAAGCATGGTAGTGGTACTCACTGTTCACTCTCAAGGTCTATTCCAGTTGCAATAAACACACTGGGTGATATGTCTGGATGTAGCGACACATCATTTCCTTCCTGAAGTTGATGTGCTTCCATCTCAACTAGTTTGAGTTGAACCACAGATTGTGTGATTGCTATTGAAATATCAGATATCATGCAACACTTTTAGATGATTGACTTACTGGGAACCCTCATCTTGAAAGGATTGGGCACTGATAGGTCATTGGGGTTCTCCTCCCAATGCTCAACATCTGCTCTCCATCCTGTGGTGGTCTCCAACCTCAAAGCTCTGTTCAGTTCTTCAAAAGTGTTTGAATGAGCCTGATATTCCTTGTTAGCCTTGTCCATCTTGTGAAGAAGAGTAGCACCTGACACAGTAGCACAAAGTGAGAAACATGCTGATGTTGTAATGCTAGAGCGAACATGTACCAAGGCCAACTCGTTTCTTCCAGTTCCAATCACTGAAGTGATCATCCAGTGTATCCCTTCAAGACCCTGGTCCCATTTCTTTTGTGCTTGATGCTATGGGGTTGATATTTGACCACCCTCATTCTGGAGCCTCTCCACCTGTACACCCAACATTTTTGGAAAAATTGAAAGAGAACATTGACTGACACTTCAATACATGGGTGGGTAAATGGAATTTCAGAACAAAGAACTGGACCAATTTACTTGCATGGTCCAGTTGAAGGTGAGCCAGTGAAGGTTCAACAACTCTGCTGGCTTGCAGAGCAGAAGAAAGAAAGATGCCTCTACCTCTGGGGTGAGAGGAAGGCTACTGACTCTCTAAATTGTTGGTCAAAGTGCACCAGGTGATATGTTCGACCCTTAGGGGAAGCAAGGAAAGCAAAGATCTACAAAGTGACACCAGGTCAACTCTGGTGAAGTGCACTGAAAGTGCGTGCGTGGGAATATGGAGCACATAGGAGTGCGAAGCGTGGGAATAAGGCATGTTGTGAAGAAGAAATAGGTACTAGGCTGTTAGCAACTAGCACTACTTATCCTAAGAGGCGCGAGTCAGTAGATCAGCCTGAGAGGACTGCTATTGAAGCACTTCCTTTGAATATATGCAAGGGAAGCAAGTGAGCGAAGGAGTTAAAATCTATAGTGGCCTAAGAAACTAGAGTGTGGGATGTATGTATATCTTTGAATTTGTGTGAGTGCAGCAAATGCCAGATACCAGTGCAGTAGATATAACACACACAAAATCAACCATGCTTGATAGAGCGGCTGGATGCAAGAGAGATAGTGCAAGAGAAGGACTGCACTAAGTTACTGGTTGCAGGTTGGGTGTTCAAGAGCCTAAGTATAAGGTCCTAGCGGTATGGAACTTCAGAGTGGTTGAATTGCACGAGATTGTCAAGTATGAGCAAACAGAATGGATTGCACAAGGTCTACAAAAATAATGCAAGAGTGACTCTCCTATAGAGCTGAGTCCGGGGGAAAGGGAACTAACTCAATTGTATGTACTGCAGTCATTTTATCATAGTGTGTGAAGGTCCAGAATGCGTAGGCGAGAATTGTAGCATAGTAAGTGAGCGCACAACAAGTCTATAGGTAATAAGACATTGTGTGCTGCAGGACGTGAGTAACATGTAATAAGACCTGCAGCTCGTTTAGCAATGATATTTGGGAAAAATAATGCACCAGTGGAGATAGGTGGACATGGATAGGACATGGGAGGACAGATTCCTAGGACCAGACCAAAGCTAAATGGGAGCATGGGTTGTGGGAGGAGTGTGCACCTATTGTCAAAGGAGCATACTAAAAGCAGATGAGTCAATATATATGGATTTAATGATCAGTGCTTTATCTCCTTTCCTGGGAGTGAGAAGAACCATGCTAGTGATCATATGCACCTAGTGCCAGTACAATCATCACAGTGTGCTGTGCATGGACGTATATGAAACTGGTAGATGTTGTGAGGACATGAACTAAAGCTGCTGAATGGAGACTGATGGTAGTAGACTGTTACTGAGGACCAGGGTGATGACTATGGTGCTAACTCATGATGATTCTGACTGCTAGATGATAACTACTGACATGATGGTGGTTCATGTATGAAAACTTTCTAGGCAACTGGTAAGCTGTGCCTAGGCACACTCCCAGGGCTTGGAAGCGAATAGGGAGCGCTCTATGTATGTAAAATGATGTAAGTAAGGGTCCATGATGAAATAAGATATCATATGATGCCGGACATGATCTGATCATGAGAATAAACAAGAAAGGACTCACTAGGGAACTGGTTGGACAATGGATGGATGCTCTAGGATGCTGTGTGACAAAGGGTGACTGAGCATGTGTGCAGGAATGCGTCGCATAGTGCAGGAAAGCATCGCACCTCTGGCGCATTTCACAGGATGATCATAGATAGTGAGTCATGCACTGTACCAATTGTTGTGAGTTGAAATATGTGCAATCTATGCCTAGGGGAATCTCATTCTCTACACCAGCATTGTTAAAATGCATTGCCAGAGATGCTTGTGCCATTGGCAAGCAATATTGTATGACACATTGGGTACATTGACACACTGTTGACTGAGTGTCAAGAAAAACAAATAGTCCATATTTGTGTACCTAAAAATGAATGCAATGATTAGTGTTTTGAATTGCTGGTTATCACAAGTGGCTTACCTCTCGCCTTTCTGTAAATCTCCAACACCATTCAGTAATTTCATATTGTGTTGTGCACAATCAATTGTCCCAACACCTGTTGCAGCCAAGCCTTGTGATGCCTTTGTGTTGGCTATATTAACAGCATTGTGAGAAGAACAGGTGCTCTTCTGCACACAAGAGGTCAAACACAAGATATAAGGAACACATGAAACAAGCACCTCCTGTGGCTTCTCACTATACTGCTGTAAGTGAGATTTGTAAACTGTTTCCTTGACAAAATATGCCCATCCACAACTCAGCCCAGGGTCCATCCCTTCCTTTGAGATAGCACACCTCTTCAGGTGAAAAATTGCATCTATAGCAACAAAGAATGCAGAAAACCATCTGATGATGAAATTGTCAGTGATCAATCAAGGTCTCATATACTAGAATGAAGCTGCCTGCTGCTTGTCATCTGGCACATCCTGCCAATCATCTGGTAGGTTTTTTCTGGGTTGGGGGCAAGCCAGTGTGGATAACACAACTTGGCTAGATAGTTGTTAGAATACCTAGCCAATATATGTCTACTAGTCCTGCCCAGCTGCTACACTTGCAAGCAAGAATGTTCAACCCGAGGGATCTGCTGTCTAGTCAAGTTTAATAATCAGTACTATGCAAAGTAGTCAAAAGTCCGAAGGTCAGGGATCAAGCCCAAAGGTATGGGGTGAAGTCTGATGTGCAGGAAATCAGGTCTGCAGGTGCAGAGATGTGGAGATGGCAGGAGAGTAAAAGAAAGGAAGGGAAAGTGTCAGGACTAGCTTGGAGATGTTAAGGAATGTCAAGTGAATGAGTGACAATAGTTTTGGGTCAGGGAGAGTGGGTCAACAGGTATATTGGCAAGGGGTAACTCTAAGGACAAATATGGGTGACCAGTATCAGGGGTTTCTCCCTCCTACTAAATGGTGATTGTAATTCTGGTCACCCAACCCTATATAATTAACTACATGAAAGTCCAGAGTCCATAGGCGAAAGTAGTAGCAAAAATGCGGGTCCAATGATATGTGGGTAAAAGGCCATGAGGTACTGTGGCTTGTGGGAATCCATGTAATAACACTGTCTACTCAATCAGTAATGGGAATTAACTGACTATGCACCAGTGGGGATGAGTGCAGCTGGACTGGACATGGTAGGGCAAGTGTGCAGGATCTCCAAGTGGGTTTGATGCATCAGAGATGCGCAGATGGTGGGAAAGCATCAGAGATGGGTAGGAGATGTGCAGACTGGATGGGGATTGCAGATTAGGGTCATAGCAGGCTAGCCAGAACATGATTGTCACACCAGACATAAAACAGCACATTCTCCCTCCCTCGTTCCCTCCACACCTGTTGGATCATGTCCATGACTGGCACATTTAAGCATCTTGAGGTGGTGCAATTCTCAAACCATCTGCAAGAAGGCTTCATACCAATCCTATGGATGAGCTAAGTGGCTAGGAGATAATTAGAAGCATATCACATACCTTGTGTGCATGATAAAATTCATGACTGGATGCCTTGAACTCAAAGGACAACAGATGGTACTGTTCAAGAATTTGAAATGTGGCTGCTGTTTGAGGTTCTGACATAGTTGCTGGAAACCATGCTGCATGAAGTAGTTGTGTCGATTGTGTCTATGCAGTGTCATAATTGCAGTAATCAAGCCCTATTTTGTGTATACTGTTGGTGTGAATTACTGTAAAATCATCATTAAATGCCTTTTAGGGTAACAGGCACTCCTCTCCAATCAGATGGCCAAGTTGTACCTGTAAACCGAGCCATTTGAGTGACAGAGCAGCAAATGAAGAGCCTGTCCATTTCTGTGCAAATGTAAGTATGGTCAGGGTGATAAGTACAGGAACTTGCCTGAATCTGATGGAGGGGATTTCTTGTGTGCAAAGACACAATACATAGAGAGCAAAACAACTCCCCACTGAAGCAATCAATGCACCGGTATTCTGAGAGGCCAAAATGACATTTTTCACAGACACAAAGGTTTATGTAGTCACCCCATCCATCATGCCACAGAAGCTCAAGTAGGAATGTGTCATGTTCAGCTTTCCATGGTAGAAGAGGATGATCCTATGTACAGGGTTCAAATAGTTGCAGCATAGAGTAAAATTAGTGACTTACACCAGCTGTGCATTTGTGTTTGTGGCTATCTTCAGTCTCTAGACATTCAGCCTCTATGTCTGCACCAGTAAAATCTGGAAAGTCATGGTTTATGTCTGAGTCAGCCATTAACAAGTCCATTGTTTCAACAACTTGAACTGAAGATGTACTAGGCTTCACACTGACATGAGATCTGTGTGCTGTGAACCCTTGTTTTTGAGAGATAAAGGTGTATGTCTCATGAACACTTGATGTATTTGGAAGCCAGGGGATATAGATATTTAGCTTTTTCCATTTTGCTGTGGCAGCACATTCATTGACTTTCTTGAATGACATGTGTTGATGCAGTGGCCTAGCTTGAGAAGTGACAGGTTCTGGATGCATAATTTAAGCCATGAGCAAAATAGTTAATACTGATATCATGAGCTAGTCATCAAATTTGGAGGTAACTAGGAGGACTTGACACTACTGTTACACCTATAGAAGCAATGTGCTGTTGCTGAGTCACCTCCTGGATACTGATGCATTACATTTGTTATCCAAATGCATTACCATAATTCGTTGTCCAAGGGTACATTCACAATCTAAATGCATTACTTATTTCAAGGTTAGAAAAAGTAATGCAATATATTGGTCATACTTATAAGGTGCTTCCTCAGTCATGAAATCATTATCCTTTTCCTGTCAGTCTTTCCATGTATCAGGACTCACTGCCACTGACAGAAGCATCACAAATTGAAGACTTCAAATGTCCAGGCAAATCTCCTCATTTATTGGCTCCAAGCCCACCACCAAAATCCAAGTTAACAGTCATATTGTATGACCCAGAATGTGTGTCTGAATTTCTTTCTGATATTATGTGACATTGAATTTTAAGAAAATGAGTGGCCAAATCCAGGCTTCATGCAGCTGAATGTGCTGTATTTCGACTACCAGAATGCTTATGTTACAATACTACACCATACTCAGCACAAGAGCAACATACTGCATGGGTATATCAGGATGACCCAATGTACAAAGAGGTTGTCAGATCTATTGCTGATGATTGCTTCTTATATCTTTACCATGGTGTGCTATACAATGAGCCCCTTCAGTGACAAACTCCGGGTCACCTGACCTACATAATATCCTGTATAAGATGGGCCAGTGGACTATGGGCCAATGTTATGTATATCCTCGATGTTGACAGGTGGGCCCATCTATGCCAATGTTATAAATATCCTTGACGATGGTGGATGGGCTGGAAGAAATATTATTACTGATGGAGATGGGTGGGCCCATCTGGGCAATATGTAGAGTAGGATAGACATATATTATAGACAGCTGGGCTGAAGAGAGATGTATGGTAGATATTATTATATAGACAGGTGGGCCGAGGTGAGGGTATATTAGATAGACAGCTGGGCTGATGGGGCGGGGAAATATGTATTATATATACAGGTGGGCCAATGTAGGGTATATTAGATAGACAGGTGGGCTGATGGAGGGGGATGTCATATAAATGGGTGGGCCCAGATACATATCATTTAGACATATGGGCTGAGGTATTGGTATACTATATGGACATATGAGCAATGCTGTTGCACTAGTTTTGATCCAAGTCATCAATGACATTCAGACTCAGATCCTGTCAATGTCAATCAAAGTCAACACAGCAAGTACTGAGTCCCAAATCCTGAACATCAAACCCTGAACATTGAAACCCAAAACTCCAACATCGAGTCTTGAAACTCAAAACTCAAAACTCATACATTTTTACAACTTTCAAGTATTGAATCACCGAGTCCTGAAACCCAAACATCGAACCCTGAACATTGAAACCTGAAAATTCGAAACACCAACATCAAAACTCAAAACTCAAACATTTTTATGACTGTCAAGTTTCCAGTCTTGAATCACCAAGTCCCAAATACCGAATGCTGACACCCAAAGTTGTGTCAGTACTTGGATTTTGGGACTCAGTGATTCAATACTTGAAAGTCATAAAAATCTCTGAATTTTGAGTTTTGAGTTTCAAGACTTGAATCACTGAGTCCTGAGTCCTGAACATCAAAACCCAACACCTGAAACTCGAAAGTTGTACCAATATCTGAATTTCGGGTTTTGGGACTCAGTGATTCGAGTTTTGGGTGTCAGGTTTTGATGTTCAGGTTTTGGGACTTGGGACTTGAAACCTGACAGTCATAACAATGTATGAGTTTTGAGTTTTGAGTCTTGAATCACTGAGTCCCGAGTCCCAAAACCCAAACATCGAACCCCTAATATCACACCCCAAAACCCAAAACTTGAAACTCACCAAAATGTATGAGTTTTGAGTTTTGAGTTTACAAATCAAAACTCAAAACTCAAAACTCAAAACTCATACATTTTGATGACTTTTGGGTTTCAGGGTGCGATATTAGGGGTTTGATGTTCGGGTTTTGGGACTCAGGACTCAGTGATTCGAGACTCAACACTTGAAACTCATACATTGTTACAACTGTTGGGTTTCAAGTTTTGATGTTTGTTTCTAACTTTCAGGTTTTGGTACTTGGTACTTGACACTCGGTGATTGAATAAATGGACTGGCAGAGCTAACATTCAATGAAAAACTTGTAGATACATCTATCACTATGCAATTATATAGCCATTGTTACGAACTCGGATAGAGTGTCATTCCAATAAAGGAATCAAGATCAGGGTCGATCAAGGACTAAACCTTATCGAGTCAATGCCTCCCTCAGGAGCGATCATCTAGACTCCTGCAGGATCTAGAGTTCAAATGGGACAATGGCTAGCCTCCTTCCCAAGGAGCTAGAGTTTAGGTTATCAGAGAGAACCGAGTAGATTCAAGTTAGAGAAAATACAAGTGGTAACTAGAGTTTATATACATAAAGGAATTGTGCACAGACCAAGCTGGGCAAAGGGTAACTAGTACTAGAAATGGAAGGTTCATGGGAAAACAAGGTATGAGTCAGAGATAAAGGAGACCATGAGGAAACAGTACAGTGAAAAGGAAGCATTAGAAGTACAGCCATATAGGAGTCCGCAGTGATGATGGGAAAAAGAGTGGGGCACTGTAACAGCCATGTCAACCTCCTCAGAAGACACTTCAACCTTCACCTCAACATCCATGTCCTCGGAAGAATCATATTCTGGGACCAGGTTGCCCAGATCACCTGGGTCCACAATTTCGCCAGACATATCTGGAACCTCTGGTTGAACAACCCAGTTGTACTCAAAGAGGAGGCCCTTAATGGCAGAGGCATTCTCAAATTTCGGGGGTGTGGGTGTCATCTCTCCAATCAAGAGATCAATGAGAGGAGGGAGTGCAGATGTGGATGGTGACATGGATGGGGGGACGGATTGATCAAGCAACAAGGATGTTGCATTGGCCAGAGGTTTGGGAATTGGGAATGTGGTGTGCAAACACAACAATGGCTAGACACTTTTTAATGTGCCTAACCAAAAATATTGTTGTAGGTCGATGCTCTGCCTAACTGTTACACTTGCAAGCAAGAATGTTTGACCCTAAAGGGAATTGCTACTGAGAACGGCTGATGATACTAAAGACCCGAAAGTGCGCAGAGCGCAGGAACAAGTGCGCGGGTATGTAGAGCGTGGGAATGCGGAAGTGCAGTCAATGAGCGGTCAATGAGCAGTCGATGTGGAAGTGCAAGATGCTAGGGTAGGCAAGTCTTAAGGAATGGTGCAGGTAACAAGTGAGGGCAAGGGTATTGATTGCACAGGTAAAGAAAGTCAAGGTAAGGTGTCCAGGTATAAGGTAACCAATAGGGGCTAAAAAGCGCGCACTAATGGTGACTGCTCCTAAGTAAAACCTAGGGGAAGGAAATACTGCAGAAGGGAAGTAAATATGAAGTAGTCACTCTAGGCACTTTATACTAGCTAAACCCTCTTGGAAATGGAAGGGACAGGACAGACAGGCAGTAGGAATATGTAAAGACATGTAATAAGGCTGCAACACTTGTTACAACACACAAGGCAAGGCAAAATACATACCAATGAGGTAGGATGGACGATGGACTGATGCGGGACATCTGTAAGGTAGTCCAAAGGCACGGGAAATCGACTGCAGTTATGCACGCAGCATGGGAGTGAATGTGCGGGTCCACAGAGCATGGGAATATGTGTCCGGAGTGGGTTGAGTGTGGGAAAAGTGGTCGATGGTTTTGTAGCTTTCCATCACCTATATCAAAAGATGGCCATTGCAAGCCTAGTGGGAATACAATCATCACAGCGGGGTGCCGGTCAACAATTTCATGCCTAAGGCCTTCATGGAGGCATTGCAGGGTATCAATCTTACCATCCTGCTCTGCCACATGAGCCTTGAGAATGGCAATGTGAGCTGCACCATCCTGAATTGCAATTGCCATGGCATGGAGATCCAGCATGGGCAGGTTGAGTGCTGCAGCAGGGACTGCCAGACCAGGTACTGGAGCAGGCACTGCTGAACTTGAAGATGGAAGTGCTACAAGGGAAAATTAAGGTCAGACAGTGATGAAACAAAACTCAGGTGACTTATGAGCTGGTGCAGGTGCGGGTGCCTTGACAGCAGTGATGGTCTTGCTGTGACCACACATCTGGGTCTTGGGGGTTGTCACAGCAGTGACACCCAGAGTTCCAGACTTGCCACAAGACTGACTGTGAGTTCAGGCCTTGGATTGGGAGGCAGGGGGAGCTTTGGAGGGAGCCTTGGAGGGCATCCTGGACCTTGTGTTCTGGGTGGTAGAGGAACCATGAACACATTTTGGCAGGGTACCCAGAGTCATGGGGATGCACTTGATCTTCTTTGTTGTGCAGTGGATGCACAACATACATGGATTCCCGGTCCTCTTGTCCAACTGAGTTGTGCAGTCCCAGTTTAGCTTGCTGCAAGCCTGGCATGGGTTGTTCTGTGTATTGTGTTAGTGAATGGACGCTTGTCAAATAAATCAGAGTACTCACTGGTCCAGGAATGAGAATATCACCTTCATCAATGACTGGGGGTGCCTCCACCAGGCTGTTGGGAGTCGGCTGGGAGGGCTCAATAACTGCCAGGTGACTGCTGGCAATCACCTGGTACATTGTGAGCATACACCCGAGTCCCAGATGCATAAATGTGACTTACTGTAGCAGGGCCAAAGGGCTTTTTGGTCAGAACCTGGGGTAATCTAGGTGAATTGGAGAGCCAGGGAAGGACAATGTCCAGCACTCCACCCAAAAATGGCCACAAGACAATGCGAGCCAAGTCAAAGATGAACCAGACGACATACCTGAATACTCATGTCTTCCTCATCTTCCAAGTCCACTAGGGGCTTGGATGTCACCCAGCAAGATGACTTTGCACACTTGTGAGTCTTCATCACAGACTTCAGCAGTTGGGAGGAGAGTGCTGAAATCATGGGAGACTTCCTCTTCCGACTCCCTTCTGCCTTGGGCTCTGGGTCAGCATTGATGGCCTTACCTTTCCCCTTGTCCCAGAACTCAGTGGTGGTGCTGGTGGAGGGACCAGCAACATTGCTAGCACAGATGGGTGGGGAGGGAAGGTCCACTGGAATTGGACCTGTGGAGAGAGGAGCAGCAACTGGGAGATCAAAGGTATGGTCACCTAAGGCCTCCTAGGTGAGGAGCTTGGGGCACCAGACTGTTGGAGTAACAAGTGCGCCTGCAGCTGAAGAACACCATACCCTTGTCTCATATGTTTCATATATTGTTTCTTACTTGTGTATTGTGTGCTCTTATCTGTTTACTTACCATTATACTTATGACTCTATTGATTGCTTAGGCCAGTGCCTCTGATACTATAATTCATGTCTCAGTCTTGTTTGTCGTTAACAAGATCTCTTTTCCTATTTAACTAGTGTATATCGGACTCAATACCTCAGACATTTGCACTCGTGTGCCTGATCTGAGGTATGACACTTACTTTACTTACATTCACCTATGCTAACCAAGCCTCAGTGTATCTATCTATTATAGGTGAATATCATGAGATGTTCGCACTCGTGTGCCCAATCTGAGTATATCTATCTATTATAGATCCACATGAAGCATTATTAACTTTTCACAGACATGCTTCAAGAGATGGGGATTGTCATACCTGATGCTGTGCCAGTTGGGCCAGACCTGGGGAGTCATGCCCCAGACATGCAATAGCTCCTTGGAGCATGAAAGCATGATGCTGGGCAGGGGTCCAGTCCAATAGTCCTTGATCACTTGAGCCTGCCTGGATGTTAGAGAGAGAAAAAGAAAGAAAAAAGAAAGCTACATACCACAAGTGAACTGACCTGTGTTATCAGAGAAAAGTGGCTGTTACCTGGGGGAATCTGCCAGGTGCCGCTGATGATGGCCATGATCTGGGCAGTGGATGCCTTGAGACCAGTCAAAGAGTTGTCAACTGGAGTGGACATGATGATTGAGTTGAGAGATTTAAAGATCTTGAAATCAGGTTGAAATCTGTTATCACAAGGATAAAGTTTCAAAAGAAACAAGACATTTGATGGACGATTGATAAAATCATTGATTGTTTGTCTTTGTTTGGTCACAGTTCAACTTCCGAATTGCCAGTTTTGTGTTGAACTTCGAAGTTTTTTCAATTATCAGTCAACAAATCAATAAGTTCCCCACACAAGATGAGTCCACAGTCAGCTGTTCGATTCAATGTCCCTCCAGTGACCAACTACAATTCAATGGATGTGGATGAGTCCACTGTGTCCTGGGCATCACTAGGTGTGTTGTATTTTTATCATGCCTTATCTATTTACCAGGTATCCCTTAGATGATCTATACCTAGGGCCAGATGATGACATAGAATATGATTCTCCATCATCCAGATCACCATGCATACTCACTAAACCCTTGCAGATCAATCACCTCCAGCTCAAGCTGATTATCCAGGTTTTCCCATCAATCCAGATTTGTACCTCAGGCCTGAGGATGATATCATTGATGTGGATGAGTTGCTGGATTCTGCTGATCCTAAGAGTGATGTTCTGGCTGCATCAGAAGTGTCTATGTCTTGTGAGTCCATTCATTCCAGAGGATTATAGATACTTATTGTATCTCCCAAGTGGATGACACCTCTACCGAACTTCATTCAGAGCAGCCAGAGCTCACTAATGAAGATTTACATTCAATGGCCCGGGAGTTCCGACCATTTGGGTCATATGAACACACTGGGTGTGAGTATCTGACAAAGCAGATCATTTATCTCTGTGCTAATTTTTCTGCACATGCAATCTGTTCAAGATTGACTCAGTAATTACAAACACTGTACTGGGGATCTTCCTGATCCTTCAATTCCAATGCTAATCAAGGCTGAGTGACCCTTCCGGATGGCTTGGGCAGAAACTTCCAACAAACTCAGAAGAGCTGATGCGGACCTCCAGAGGTTGCAAAGAGCCCAACAGATGAGCATTGAAATGCTCAAGGTAGTAGATTCACTGATCAATTGGTTTGAAGATCAGATTCAAATGTAAAGTACTGAATGTTTGATAGTAGTCAAATCATATGTAAACTTCCAAATTTGCGATGCATTTCTCTTCCATTTCCAATTGAGTTCTGGAGGCTCAGGAGTTCCTGAGTGTCAAACACAGAAGTTGAATTCTCGCTTTATGGAGGATCACTGAGTCCTGAGTTTGATCCAAGTCCCAAGTTTGATTCGAAGATTGAACTTGGGACTCAGTGAGCCAAAGTGAGAATTCAACTTCCATGTTCAACACCTGGGAACTCCTGAGCCATAGAGATTGAATAACATTGACATGTACATAAAGGCAGGCAGTGTAGTATAAGTCCATTACTTCTTTCCCCTTGCTCTTGTCACTTGAGGGGTATTGTCTGATGGCTGTTGAGTTGATTTACTCCGGGTTGTCCTTGCTGATGGCTCAATCACCACTTTTTTTCCCTGCATGTTCTTTGGCACCAGAGACATGTGCCCTCCTTCCATTCCAACATCCTCCTCAACATTGCTGGTGACTCCATCAGTCAACCCAGCCAGGAGGTTGCCCATTTGAGATGTCAGCAGTGCACCAGTTTTTGCCGGCTTGACCAGGTGAGGCTTTGGAATTGCATGTGGGACTGCTGTCCCTTCATGTGCTGTTGAAGGACCTAGCTCTCTTCTGGGTCTCTTTTGCAGGGATCTACCATCAGCCACATCATCATCAGCATCATCCTCCATGTGATGAGAGTCACTCTCAGGATTACTCCTGGGATTGCTCTCGGTGTCAGTTGACAAATTCTGAGGCCTTCAGATCATCTGCTTTCTGACTTTATGAGTCTGATGGAAAGGTGAATTCCTGGACACAACTGATGCTACCATGTCTCCATCTCTGTTCTTCCATGCTTTGAACAGGAATGTTGGACCTTCGCCTTTCTCCTGCTGAGCATGCCAGAAATTGAGTAAGGCTGTAGTGTCCCAATTTTGCAACTTTGAAGGCTCCTTCAAGTCCACATCCACTGGAACATACTTCCTTGCCACAAAATCATACTGACTTTGTATGATGGCACTCCATGGCATGACTGCCTTGTTGCTCCTGGAACAGATCCCTGTGTCCATGCATTCAACAAATTCTCAGGTGTTGCAACGATAGACTCACAATAGTGCAATGTAAGAAATGCCCTTGCTATGGCCTTCTTCTCCTCGAGTTTTGTTTTGGTGATGTTCAGAAGCAACAGCATCCCATCTTCATTGGTTTCCAGTTCAAAAGCAGGCTTTCTGATTCTTTTTTGACCTCCCTTCATCTGTTGTCCTCCATCCTGTGCCCCAGCACCTATCATCACAACAATCAACAAATTCCTTCTAGTAGCCAGAGTTCAAACACTCACTGAACTGTTCCTGCACATACTCCTGCCAAACTGGCTCGATGTCCTCCCAGTCCTTCGTCTTCATGAAGCTGTCCCCATCTCCTAATGCCTCATTATCATTGTGCCTCCATGACATGTATTGAGATTGAAGATCTGCAATGACCAACACAATTCACTTACATCCCGAACAGCACCTCTCCCTGTTCATTCTTCCAAGCCAACATCACAAACACTCTCATCCTGCATTGCCTCCACATCTCCTTCAAAAAGTGCTCCATATACACAGGTCCCTTCTTATGAGCAACTTGTGCCTGTATCTTGGGAGGAGGAAAGTTGTTGGATCATTTTTCGGCTGTTTCCTTTGCCTTCTCCAACTCATCATCAGACAATTCAGCCATGACTCTCTTCACAGCTGCCTGATAATGCTTGAACATACTGGGACCTCCTGGCTTTGCCCCAGACTCATCCTCGATCCTCTTTAGCACCTCTTCCTGGTTCCACTGGTAGATCACCATCCTAGGTGTCCATTTCCTCCCATACTTTATCATGTCCTTCCTTTCCTTCTTTTTCCTGTTGTTGAACAACCAAGTCTTGTATATCTGAGCATTGATGGAAGAATAAGATATTAAAATTTTAGTTTTTCAATACAGTGAGGATGAATCACCTGCTTCCTCTTCTTCCATTGTGCTTGGTTGACCTTAGGAGCAAATAGCCTGGCAGCCCTAGCTATGGCAGTGAAAACTGCTTGCTTCTCTTTCCTTTTTGCTGAAGTCCACTCAGGAAGGTAGTTCTTCAACTCCAAAATTTCATTTTCCATGAGCTTCTGTGTCTGAGGTTGATGTGCCCTATGTCTTCCAGAAGTCAACTGAGTGGAGTGACCTGATCTTGCCATGGTGAATGAGATTGCAGAATGGGCTGAGGATAAGCAAGGTGGAAGTAATAATGGTGACAAGTTGAACTTTGAGCAAAGCCTAACAGTTGGTTAATTGACCCATATTGGACACAATACCATTAGTGGAAATGAATTTGTAATGATGCATCAAGACTGCATAACATCATATTGCAACAATGATTCATTCAACCTTCCTGAGCTAATGCTTTGCTTGCAACATCAGAAAATAAGATGAAGATAGGTAGATGCACCCCACTGCAAAAATCCCACAGGGTAGAAGCAAGGGGCAGCAAAGGTAGGAAAACTTGGGTCAAGGTCCCACTTGCTAGCACAAAACGACATGCCTACAGGTCCATGCCTAACTCTCCCCCAGAATCACTAACACTTCAGCCTGTTGAGGTACCACCTCCTTAAGAAGACTTTCCTGACAATGCTTACAGTGGCTCAAAAAACTGTCCACATGTTTTGACATTTTTCACTATCTATGATATTGTGTGAGAATGAACAAATGCCTCAAGGACATGCTTATACCACATTGTAGTATGGCTTCAGGGCTTTCATTTGAGCCCTACACCGTGGGAATCGGTGGAGATATGGTGGAGACATAAGGCTTACAAAATCATGACTCATGTGGACAGTTTTTTGAGCACATATTAAAACTATATAAATCATCATTTATGACACCATAACAATCATGCCACCATTAAATAAATTATAAAGTGGTGTCATTATGTCATTTTAAAACCATATCTAACTATACAAACCAAAAATTTCCATATGTCATGGTCATATTCACCATGAAAGCCACCCCCCCTGCTCAAAGGGATAATATCCTCTCTCTTTCCTATTCTGGCCTCTCTGCTTGTCAAATTTCCTCTAGAACTGGAGTATCCAAGTCCACTGTGGCCAAGTTCATCAAAGAAAGTCACACAGACAAGGAAAACTTCTGTGAAGGGTGTCCATCCAAGCTCACCTCTACTGATAGGAGGGCTATTATTCAACATATCACTACAGGAAAGGCCGACAATGCCGTCCAGGTCACCTATTGCATCAATTCCACCATCACATTCCCTGTCTCTTCACACACTGTGAGAAACATTCTCAAGACAGCTCATCTCAGGTCAGTAACAAGGAAGAAAAGGCTTTCCTCTCTATCACACATAAACAGAGATGACTAACCTTTGCCTTAGCCCATCAGAATTGGATTACATGGACTGGAAGCATGTTATATGATCATATAAGACCACAAGAATAGGATTGGGTCAGATGGCAAGGTATATATGTGAAAAAAGAAGGATGCTAGTCCTCTCTGCATATGTGTGATAGAGAGGAAAGCCTTTTCTTCCTTGTTACTGACCTGAGATGAGCTGTCTTGAGAATGTTTCTCACAGTGTGTGAAGAGACAGGGAATGTGATGGTGGAATTGATGCAATAGGTGACCTGGACGGCATTGTCGGCCTTTCCTGTAGTGATATGTTGAATAATAGCCCTCCTATCAGTAGAGGTGAGCTTGGATGGACACCCTTCACAGAAGTTTTCCTTGTCTGTGTGACTTTCTTTGATGAACTTGGCCACAGTGGACTTGGATACTCCAGTTCTAGAGGAAATTTGACAAGCAGAGAGGCCAGAATAGGAAAGAGAGAGGATATTATCCCTTTGAGCAGGGGGGGTGGCTTTCATGGTGAATATGACCATGACATATGGAAATTTTTGGTTTGTATAGTTAGATATGGTTTTAAAATGACATAATGACACCACTTTATAATTTATTTAATGGTGGCATGATTGTTATGGTGTCATAAATGATGATTTATATAGTTTTAATATGTGCTCAAAAAACTGTCCACATGAGTCATGATTTTGTAAGCCTTGTATCTCCACCATATCTCCTCTGATTCTCACGACGTGGTGCTCAATCCAAAGCCCTGATGCAGCACCACAATATGGTATCAGCATGTCACTGAGGTCTTTATGTATTCTCACACAATATTGTAAATAGTAAAAAATGCAAAAACATGTGGACAGTTTTTTGAGCCACTGTATATAATTGGACTGTAAATTGCATGTCTCAGTCGTCCCTACAACCAAAACTCGAGAACACTCACTCACCTTTTGAGTCTTTCTGAAGCAGAAAGACAATACCACATTCATTTGGTATCTTGTGCTTATTTATTCCAGGATTACCACCTTATATTAGATGCCAACCTGAACTTGACTTTCGATACAGCAGGCTGCTTCACACCATAAGTTAGTAGTGATATTCACAAGGCTAAATTGAACTCACCTAATCTAAGCACGACACAAGGCAAAGGACAAAGCTTTGGAAAATCCTGGTAAGTACATGTAGTGGTGTGATGTGGGGCTGATCAATCAGTGCTGGGCAAGTGTGGGAACAACTTCAAAGCAAGTCATGTGCTACTAAGTGTGACTGCTCTCCAACAACAGTCAAAGAACTTGAATCTACTTGGCCTGAAAAACGAAGCAAGTCAACAAAAAACCATAGTAAGTCTTGACTCTGAACAATGAAAAAAAATGAGATGACATGCAAATCAGAAAAAAATTCTTCCCAAGTAATTGAGGAATTGGATAGCAGTAATGAGGAAGAACTTGCCCCACCTCCACCATCTCAGTACCAATTCAAGCTGCCTCCTCAACTATTGTGTCAACAGCATGAGAAAGGTACTAGAGAGCAGTATTCTCACTTTTTTTTTGATTCATACCAAGTATTAATTTTTGTAGTTCATAACTTGAAGACATTCAAACTACTATAGGACTCTGAATCAGATGGTGATGGCAACTTGGATGCCAGCAACATGGAATCCAGTGGAAGCAAAGAATCAGACCTATTGGAGCCAGAAGAGTCTGTCGCTCAGGCTCTGTTTGAAGAGGTGAGTCAAACCTTTGCATAAGTATGAGGAGTGCCAGGAGGGTCTCATTATCATTCAACTTGAAAGGTTCCTTTGATTGTACATTCAGACCGCCATAAGAATAAACAGACAAAGGCGGTTTCATCAAAGGTCTCAAGTACTTCCTTGCAACTTGAAGCAGCTGACAAGCCTCAATACTAGGTCAAGGTTACAAGCACCAGAGAGAAAAAGTGTGCCATGGAGGTAAGTGGAAATATTTCTATCAATCTACTAAGATTCAGACACAATTCTTTATTTGTCAGACCCCAGGTGGAATGAGTCAGTCTTGACTATCTCAGAGTTCGATTCATCATTGATCCTAGCAGACTCACCATTTACTGATGAGAGTGACATACCTGTGAAGGAGGAGAATGCCAAAGATATTCAAGGCAGCACCCACAATACTGCCAATGCACAATCCAAGGAAGGCTATCATGATCCCATGGCTCATCTTGTTTACACCAAGACTGGGTCAGTATGTCTTACTGATCAGAATGTTGACCTTCATAGGGTCATTCAATGCAGCATTCTTGAGCTGAAGGCATACATTGCCTTCAGTCATGGTTACCCTGAAGTCATCGTGAAGAATACATATGCACAAGAGATACTTATCAATGCTGCACAATATCTCAAGATGGAACCAATCGAGAAACACATGCGCACAGACAAGGAGTACTTAGGTGCGCTTGTGAGTCTAGTATGTGTTTTCTTCACCATGCCATTATGGATGCTAACTCCAGTTTGTTATAGATCAACACTCATGCTAGTCTCTTTCACGGAGATATCAAGGAGATGGCTTTCAAGAACATTGCAGGCTACTTTCAGCTCAGCCCCAAGTGCAGTGCTATCCTTGAGCGCCTTCTTCAGAACCATCTATACATTTTCCTGCAAACTTTCAATGTTTGTTCTCATCTTTAGCACACTTTGACATACTGATGCTAAACATTATTAAGGTGCAAGGGCTCCCATCCCTGGTTCACAGGAAGCTGTATCAAGCAGATCCTATCTTTATCATCCTCTACAAGATGTTTTTCAAAAATACAAAGTCCATTGACTCTCAATTTCCTCAGTGGTTCCTCAATATTGCAAAGAATAAGGCACATCACCCCAAGATCCCCATTTCCATGTTAGCTATTGTCTGCACTGCAGTAAATTTGATTTCTTGTGCTCATTTAACCATTAACAGTTTCAACTTGCTAGATCTGTGCAGCTCTTCTTGCCAGGAAGAATAAGTCTAGTGAAGAATTCAAATTTACTGGTAATCAATTTTGTGATAACTACAACTACCACATCTCAGTGTTGGAATGACTTCAAGAGATGGCACCCATCAAGTTTCACAAGATGATGTCAGACATATACAAGGAAGTCCAGTAAGTCATTGTAAGCATTGCTAGCAGTGTTGCTGATCATTGTCTAGGTCTCTCTGCCTAGACACTCCTGGAGGTTATGCTCAGGATGTCAGCCTCACGTTCCTAGACATTGATGGCATGGATGATGAGTAGTCAGACACCAGGCAGCAAGTCAGACTTTTGAGGCCAATCTAACTCATTTTATTGTTTCATAGTAACATCTGAACTATGCTTGTTCCTTACATCTTTAGTTAGCTTACATCTTACTGTGCTCATGCTGATACCCATTGCAATTCAAAACTAATTCATTTGAACATTATGTGTGCTATTAAGTCTGAAAATTGCGTCTACTGTAATCAAAGGATACTACAAGACTTTCAATAATTACCTCTAGGATCACAGAAATTAGTGCTAATTAGCAGGGCACCAATTAAATTCTCCTAACCGTCAAATCTATCTAATTAGCAAAACTTTCGATCAAAAATTTGTTCTAACTTGTTCTAACTAGAGAGGGAGGTTTTTCCTGATGCTACCTCATCAATTGTCTTCTCAAGTATATCAGGATCCAAGGAGAATGATAGAAAGGAGGGGTACTGGGAGTCCTAGTAGTCATTAGCCAAGGGAAGCTGGGAAGGTAGGTTGGTGAGAAGAATGTCAAGCTTGTTGAAGATATTGACAAATTCCTCCATTGCAAGTGACTCAGCCATATTTTTGGACAAGAAAAAAGCTGGGCATTGTGAATTTG